AGTATCTGTTCAAATATTTTGCCTTTTTTTTTTTTTTGCAGTTTTTGGCCAGGGCTGGGTTTGAATCCACCACCTCCAGCATATGGGGCCGGTGCCCTACTCCTTTGAGCCACAGGCATTTGCCGTTTTGAAATTCAGGTTTTCTTATTGTTACATTTTAAGAACCTTAAAAAAAATTCTGAATGTAAATCTTTTTTGCAAATATTTCCTCCAGTCTATGGGTTTTGTTGTTTTTTTTTGAGACAGATTCTTACTTTGTCACCCTTAGTAGAGTGCTGTGGCATCACAGCTCACAGCAACCTCCAACTCCTAGGCTTAGGTGATTTTCTTGCCTCAGCCTCCTGAGTAGCTGGGACCACAGGCACCCACCACACCTGGCTACAGTCTATGGGTTTTAATTCTCCTAGTAGTGTCTTTTGCAGAGCCAAAGTTTTAAATTTTGATGCTATCCAGTTTTTCAGTTTTTTTTTAAATGCAGTGGGCTTTCGGTGTTGGCTCTAAGAAGTCTTTGCCTAGCCTAAGTCTGCATTTTCTTGAATTTATTTTTTTTTTTTTTTTTTGAGACAGAGCCTCAAGCTGTCCCCCCTGGGTAGAGTGCCGTGGCATTATAGCTCACAGCAACCTCCAACTCCTGGGCTTAAGCGAGTCTCCTGCCTCTGCCTCCCAAGTAGCTGGGACCACAGGCGCCCGCCACAGCACCCGGCTATTTTTTGGTTGCAGCCATCATTGTTGTTTGGCGGGTCCGGGCTGGGGATTCGAACCCGCCACCTTAGGTGTACGTGGCTGGCGCCTTAGCCGGTTGAGCTATAAGCGCCGAGCCTCTTCTAGAAGTTTTATATTTTTACATTTCAGAACTGAAATTGGCAATTTGGGGGGGGTGGGGTCAAGAGCCAGATGGTAAATATTTTTGGCTTTGTGGGCCATGCAGTTGCTACTACTCAATTCAGTTATTGTAGCACAATACCAGCTACAGATAATGTATAAATAAATGAGATTGGTTGTGTTCCAATAAAACTTTCTTTGTAAAAACAAGTAGTGGGCCAAACTGTTTTAGAAGGTCCACTTTTTACCCCACTCTGGATTATAACAGTGAGGTCACCATTATCTAGTCACCATACGTGGAGTAGGATGAGGGGGAAAGCAGAGAAGATACCTAACTCCTAAAGTGAAGAAAAGGAAAGATAAAGAAAAAGAAAGACAGAAGAGACATATTGTACATTTCAATTTTTCAGAGTTAACCCTTGTACTTTGCGTTGGGCAGCAATAAAGGGTTTCATTCATTTGTTTCTGAACTAAGGATAAGGATCTCTTTTAAAATCTCCTGGCCACAAACAGCTTAGCAAATCCATGGAGTTTTTCATGATTAAGGCTCTTTAAAGCTGGTGGTCCTTCCATGCTTTCTAGTGAAAACTGGTATTTATTTAGCCATCTCCCATTAATGTATATTTAGATAAGTCCAGTTTTGTACTTTTTTAAGCCATAGGGTAATGCATTCTTCGCGCTTGTTTACCTGTACTCTTGGGATTATTTCTGTAGAAAAGATGACTACAGTTCTGAGTCAAAAGGTGGTCATGTTAAATTTGGTAGGCACTGCCAAGTTCTGCTCCAAAAAAGTTGTACCATCTCACGCTCAGATCTATGCTAGATGAGGCTGTTTCCCCTTTACCTCGATTAAACTGGATTTTATTCCATCTGACTGGCAGAAAGTAGGATCTCATTTTATTTTGCATTTTCCTGATTGTTCATGAAGTTGAATTATCTCTCGTGGGCTTATTAGTTATTTAAGTTGCCACATATTTCCCTTATTAATTTGTAGAAGCTTTGAATAAAGTTTTCTCAGCCTCAGCTGTTTGGATGTTTTGAGCTGGATAACTTATGGTTGTGGAGGATGTCCTGTGCCCTGCCCACTGTTTGATATGCATCCCTAGCCTCTGTCCACTGAAGCCAGTAGTACACCAATACCCCTAGTCTTGACAACCAAAAATCTCTCTTTGTTGCTTAGTGTCCCCTGAGCAACAGAATGTCCCCTGAGGGGGCGGAATGGCCAGAGTGAGGACTACTGATGTCAATTAATAGAATATGTAGCAAATTATTTCTCCCAGGCTGCCACTGCTTATCTTTGTTTATGATGCCTTTTACCATTATAGAAGTTTTAAATTTTATGAAGTCCAACTTAGAACATCTTCAAATAAGAAATTCTGGGAAATTGTACTAATTTTGCACATTGTCTGAGATGAGTAGGAGGATAGGGAACACCTAATGTTTCCATCTGGAAAAGAGAAACCAGACTTAACAATTCTTTTCTCAGTGTTGGTTCAGGGAGTAGGTAGGAAATCTCCACGCAAGAGGTGGGTTCATATTTTCATATAACCCCTGGCAGTACTGTTTTTAAAGAAGGCCGAAGGCTCATGACCATGGGCACTAGATTTTCTTTTCTTTTTCTTTCTTTCTTTCTTTTTTTTTTTTTTTTTTGAGACAAGAATCTCACTTTGTCATCCTTGGTAGAGTGCTATGGCATCATAGTTCACAGCAACCTCAAACTCTTGGGTTCAAGTGATCCTCTTGCCTCAGCCTCCCAAGTGGCTGGGACTACAGGCACCCACCGCAATGCCTGGCTATTTTTTAGAGATGAGGTCTTGCTCTTGCTCAGGCTGGTCTCAAACTAGTGAGCTCAGGCAGTCCACCTGCCTTGGCTTCCTACATGCTGGAATTACAGACGTGAACCACTGCTCCCAGCCTCATGGGCACTAGATTTTCAAATATAACCCAGAGCTGAGCAATAGGAATCTGCAGAAGGATGTGGGCTGCCTGCCAAGACCTCCAGGTGGGTAAGCATCCAAAGGGGTGACTGCCTATGTGTTTTAGAGATGGGGACATAGGCCCTCTTAGGTCAGACAACAGCACGTGGTACTTGTGAGCAAGTGTGGTATGAGGTGTGCTTCGAAGAATAATCTTGGTGCTCTCAGCTACATTGATTCAGACTCTTCTCCAAAGCCATCACTGGCTCTGATGTTTTGTCATTGAAAGAAAGACTTAGGCAGCTGCAAAAAGCATTTCAAAGGCTGTAAGCTGTGAAGGCCAAATTCTTCTACCTGGTAGAAAAATTCCAACCTCTTTTTGGCTCAGTCACTGTGTCTTTGGGAATAAATGGGTGCAGAGGGCCATTGCTTGCCACCTTAACAACAGAGAGGGTAAGAGTGCTTAGCTCTGGACCTGGGGAGAAAGCAATCAGAATTCTTTGGAAGGATCCTAAGAGACAACTCAGACACTATTTTTTTTTTATTTTTTGGTTTTTTTGCAGTTTTTGGCCAGAGCTGGGTTTGAACCCGCCACCTCCGGCATATGGGGCCAGCACCCTACTCCTTTGAGCCACAGGCGCTGCCTTCAGACACTATTTTATAGGATCTGAAATTGTGGTGCTGGAATTGTTTGTAGATTGCTTTGAAGCCTGTCTAGTGAATTTGATTGAACTTGGAGTTGTTCTGTTTTACATTCACAGACTTTATTTTTTAGAGCAGATTTAGCTGTACAGAAAAATTACAAAGAAAGTATGATAAATTCCCATATACCCCTGCTCCAACACCTAAGTTCCTCCATTAGTAGCATCTTCTATTAGCATGGTACATTTGTTATAGTTGATGAATCAATATTGATAACTGTTATTAGCTAAAGTCTATAATTCACATGAGGGTTCACTCTGTGTTGTTCATTCTCTAGGTTTTGACAAACATGTATTGTTCAGTATCTACCACAATAGTATCATACAGAATAGATTCATTGGCCTAAAAGTTCCCTGTGTTCTGCCATTTCTTACTTTCCTTCCCACCTCCCATCCCTGGTAACTGTTGATCTTTTTACTGTCTCTGTAGTTTTGCCTATTCCAGAAGGAGGTCATATAGTTGGAATCATAAAGTATATTGCCCTCCCAGACTATTGGCTTTCATTTAGCAATGTGCATTTAGAGTTCTTTCATGTCTTTTCGTAGCATAATAACCCTTTTTTTCTTGGATTAGGGTCTCACTCTGTCACCTAGGCTGGAGTACAGTGGCCCAGTCATAGCTCATTGCAACCTCACACTCTTCCTGGGCTCAAGAGATCCTCCTGCTTTAGCCTCCTGAGCTAGGAGTATGGGCCCATGCTGGGCTAGTTTTTCTTTCTCTTTTTTTTTTATTGATAGAGTCCCACTGTGTTGTCCAGGTTGGTCTTGAACTCCTGGGCTCACACAATCTTATTGCTGCCTCCCCAACAGTTCTGGGATTACAGGTGTGAGCCAATACACAAGCTATAGCTCATTTCTTTTTTTTTTTTTTTTTTTTGGTTGCAGCCATTGTTGTTGTTTGGCGGGCCTGGGCTGGATTCAAACCTGCCACCTTGGGTGTATGTGGTTGGCACCTTAGCCATTTGAGCCACAGGTGCTGAGCCAGCTTATTTCTTTTTATCACTGAAAAATGTTCTACTATAGGAACATTTATCCACTCTAGGGATATACCATACAAATGGAGTTTGTTTATCCATCCAGCCATTAGAGGTCATCCTGGTTCTTCCAAGTCTTAGAATAAAGCCTCTATAAACATCCATGTACAGATTTTTGTTTGGTCATAAGTTGAATGTGTAGTATAGAAAAGAAAAATTTCTGGCTTGGCGTCTGTGGCTCAAGCGGCTAAGGCGCCAGGCACATACACCTAAGGTGGCGGGTTCGAATCCCCAGCCCGGGCTCGCCGAACAACGATGGCTGCAACCAAAAAATGGCCAGGTGCTGTGGCGGGCGCCTGTAGTCCCAGCTACTTGGGAGGCTGAGGCAGGAGACTCGCTTGAGCCCAGGAGTTGGAGGTTGCTGTGAGCGTGATGCCATGGCACTCTACCCAGGGGGATAGCTTGAGGCTCTGTCTCAAAAAAAAAAAAAAAAAAAGAAAGAAAGAAAAATTTCCAAGTGCAAATACAGTCATTAGTTTTGCCTTCATATATTGCAGTGTTAACATTTGGAATTTATTCTTTGCAGATTTTTGGAAAATACAATGTCTAATGGTTATGAAGACCACATGGCTGAAGACTGCAGGGGTGACATCGGGAGAACAAATTTAATCGTCAACTACCTCCCTCAGAACATGACCCAGGATGAGTTACGAAGTCTGTTCAGCAGCATTGGTGAAGTTGAATCTGCAAAACTTATTCGGGATAAAGTAGCAGGTAAAGGAGCAAAGCCATTCCTATAAAGCAGGTACTGGAGGCCGTCCTATTAGGCACTGGTTCCTTTGCGTGTAGCATTTTGGTGTCTCAGTGCAGGATGGCTGCAGCCTTAGAACAATGGCTATGAAGTTTCAGCATTATCTCATGATTTTTTACTGCCTTCGTATAGGATCAGATATAAGTTCCTAAAAGAGGAAAAATGCATTCTAAGACAGTGAGAGAAGAGGAAAAACAAGGCACCACCAGAGACAGGGAATACTCTGAGAGCAGAAAGGGGCCAAAGGGCAACAACCTGACCTGGCTTGGTCTGCACAGGTTGATCAGGTTCCATATGGCATGGGGCGGGAGGAAGAGAGGACCTGTTGAGCACCCTGGAATAGGGGAGGGCCAAGAAGGCTGTCACTGTCTCCCAGGCCCCTACTCACAGTCCGGCCAGGTCAACAGAACATTTGAGTACCCTAAGGCCAGCCCTTCCTTGGGTTGGGCCACTTTGACTATTCAGTGTCAAGCCATCAACTTGAACTTCTACACCACACTTAAGTTTGAACTTTTGGAGTGGGGAGGAGCTGGGCCACTGAAAACCCCATTCTTCTGCTCCCTCATAGTATGACTTCTCTGCCTCTGTGTCTCCTGATGACACCTACCTTGTAGGTGTTTGCAGAAGGCTTGGGACCTGTTAAGGCCCTCATACAGGGTGGCCTCTGTTCTGAGAGCATGGCTTCAAGGACTTTGGAGAAAAATATGGGGAAGCCAGGTGTGGTAGCTGATGCCTATAGTCCTAGCACTTGGGGACACTAAGGTAAGAGGATTGCTTGAGACCAGGAGTTCAAGCATATGTCTGAGCAACATAACGAGACTTCATGTCTACAAAAAAATAAGAAAAACTAGCCAAGTGTGTATTCCCAGCTACTTAGGAGGCTGAGGCAGGGAGGATCACTTGAGTCAGAGGCTGCAGTGAGCTGTGATTGAACCACTGCACTCCAGCCTGGGCAGCAGAGTGAGATCCAATCTCAAAAAGAAAGAAAGAGGGCTTAGCACCTGTGGCTCAGTGGTTACGGCGCCAGTGACATACACTGGGGCTGGAGCGTTTGAACCCAGCCCGGCCTGCCAAACAACAATGACAACTATAGCAAAAAATAGCTAGACATTGTGGTGAGTGCCTGTAGTCCCAGCTACTTGGAAGGCGAGGCAAGAGAATTGCTTAAGCCCAAGAGTTTGAGGTTGCTGTGAGCTGTGATGCCATGGCACTCTGCTGAGGGCAACATTTTTTTTTTTTTTTTGTGACCCGGTCTCAAAAACAAAAAAGAAAAATGGGGAGCACTCCTCCAACCCCCTCCTCCTCCACCCTTCCCCTCCACTTCCTACCCCTTCCCTTTCCCCTCCTCTCTCCCCTCATCCCCCTCCTCCCCTCCTCCCCTCCTGCCCCTTTTCCTCCTTCTCCTCATCCTCCTCACCAAGGAATAGGCATTCTGCTCAGGGAGGCTCTTCTGTCACCCTGGTGTGTTAGGACTGTAATTTCCTATACTGAAAACTAATTTAAAAGTTAGAAACTTTTTTTTTTTTCTAGAGACAAACTCTCAAGCTGTCGCCCTGGGTAGAATGCTATGGCATCACAGCTCACAGCAACCTCAAACTCTTGGGCTTAAGAGATTCTCTTGCCTTGGCCTCCTAAGTAGCTGGGACTACAGGCAAACCACCACAGCACCTGGCTATTTTTTGTTGCAATTGTCATTGTTTTAGCTGGCCTCTGCTGGGTTGAGCACTTCAGCCTCGGTGTATGTGGCTGGCGCCCACTGAGCCACAAGTGCCACTCAGAAACTTTTTTTTTTTTTTTCCTTCTTTCAGTTTTTGGCCGGGGCTGGGCTTGAACCCACCACCTCCAGCATATGGGGCCGGGGCCCTACTCCTTTGAGCCACAGGCGCCACCTCCAGAAACATTTTTTTATTATGGAAAATGTCAAGTATGCTCAAACATAGGATGACATATTGAACCTGATGTATCTATTGTCCTATTTTGTCAGCCTTCATCATTTCCTAGTAACATTAAGATGCCTGACCCTGGGATGACCCTGTAGATCCCTATCTAACACACCTAGGTTACAGCTCATCAGGTGGGGGCACTGAACAAAAAACCTTTTCCTCTTCTAGCTCTCTGAGAGTCTATGATTTCATAAATGCCTTCTAAACAGGGACTTTAGATAATACACAAACTTAAACAGCTTTAGAGTATTCTAGAAGCCACCATTTCTTTTTCAGGAGACTGTCCTGAGTAAGGGAATCCTATTCAAAAGGGGTTCTAAAATTCTCCTGTGTTGCTGGCAGCTGTTGGCTTTCTCCTCTTAAGTTCTGTGGAAGGGAATTTTCAGCCCCATTGATACTCCTAAGCATTGTCACCTGACTCAGCACACATTGTCATGACTTTGTGATCATTCTCACAGTGCCTGGCTTCTTTGCAGTGGTTTTCAAAGGAATGTGAGCTATGCTAACAGGAACACCTAGATTTGGTGAGATCAATCTAGAGAGAACTGGTTTTGAGAAGGCAACAAAAGGCATAATTTGGAACTTACTTTAGCATTATCTTAGGGCAATAGTTGGTGTACCAGAAACTGTGAAGTCGGTGGCATGGGCTCACACTTCAGTTGGCATCTTGCTTATTGTTCTCTAAATTGAGTAAATGGGGCTTTAGGGAAAACATCTTGCCTTTCCCACTGCCAGCATGTGGAAACCTCTTTGCTAGCTGGTCTTACATCTCACTGCCTCTTCATCTTTTTGTCACATTGCTCTGACAAAACTTTGGCTAGGTACTGTCTTTCAGCTAGAGCCCAAGCTGTCCACCCCAGCAAGAGAGCCTCTCACCAAGCCCCCTGGTGAACCTGATCCTTAACCTCACTGACGTAACACAGGATGTTCCTGTCCTCCACAATAACCATTTCAGTGTGTTTTCCCTTCTCAGGCTGAGATCTGCCTCCTCCTTCACAGTGGGACTAACAGTACCTCCATGTCTGTCCCCGATCCTCCCTTCCTCTCCCAGATTCCCAGGAACCTCAAGTTCTCCAGGTGTTCACTTTTCCTAGGTCTCTCCAGAGGTGCCCTGTGAATGTCCAAATGTGCTCTGGTGTCTACTGTCTTGACAGGAATCCTTTCTAGACTCCTAACTCCCTCCAACTGAGTTTCTGCAGCGCTGCTGACAGGTAGGACTAGGTGCTGCCCTAGACAGGATAGTGAGCAGTATCCCCAGTCTCCACCCATGGCATCCCAGTAGCACCTTCTGAGTTGTGAATCCCAAAAAGTGTCTCCAGACACGGCCACATGTCCTGTGGGAGGCAGAATCTCCCCACAGTTCTGCTTGTTGTCTTCCCATCCACAGGCTGTCACATTCCCTGTCTTTGCCTCTTTCAGAGGCATCCTTTCCCACTGCCTTTCAGGAACTGCTCCCCTGGCTATCTTTCTACCCCTGAGGCTACACTATTGTTCTTATAGCTCTTTCACAGCCTTAAAAGCTCAAGTCACCCTTAGGGTTATTCTACTGCCACCCTCTGCAGAAGCCTCTGCACTGAAGGTAGGCAGATTCCGCCCCCCTCTCCCCCCAAGGCTGCAGGTGTGCACTGCAGGCTACCTCTCTTCCTCTCTTTCAGTCAGAAAGCTCTCCTGAGTTCCTGGTTCTTTAGCTCTTTAAATTTAGTGTGTTCCAAACTGATCCTACCAGCTGGCTTCTTGTTTCCAGTGTCCCCACCTTAATGTATAACACCACTGTGCACTTAATGGCTCTGGTCAGAAATCCAAGCATGGCCTGTGATGTATCCCTGGCCCTTGTCCTCCTGGGTGTCTCTTCTCTCCAGCTCTTTCCTCCATCTCTCCAGCCACCATCTTAGGCCAAGACACCACCACCTTTGGCTTCATCATTGCTCTGACCTCTTAAGTGCCCCCTATGCTCCCTCCTGCTGTTCTCCTTGCTGCTGCAAAGGTGCCTCTTTAACAGTCCACCTGTGACTTTGTCACTCCCCTCCTCCAAAACCCTTTAGGTCCTGGCCATGCTGGCTTGAAGAGGCCTTCCCTGGCCTGAGTGTTAGATACTCCTGCACTGTGGCAGCCCTACACTGGGGGGGTTTCCCTGAGGTTAGAACTTCCTTGTCCAGGGTGTTGCTGTAGTTCCTGGGGTGGAAGCCTTGTTGACCCCAGTAGCCCTGGATACAGCCAGTCAGTATTTGCTGAGTGAATGGCTCTGGACAAGGAAGGGTACAGACCAGCATGAATGTTCTTTCACTCAGAAAATGTTTATTGCATTTCAGCCATGGGCTGGGCACTGGTAACAGGAAGAAGGAGAGACATGGTGGCTGGTAGGAAGGGACTATCCTCTGTGTTGGGAGACCTGGCATTGGCTGTTGGCTATTCTACCCACAAGCACTAGTGAAGGTGCCCCTGCAGCATCCAGCTGTGCTGCTTGGCACCTTCCTGGGCAGCGCTGCCTTACTGTTTACCCCCACAGTGGTCTGTAAGCATCAGAATGAGTTTGCCACTAGGTTCCAGCCTCTAGCTTGTTGGTTTGGCTTCTGTCTTGCCCACCTCTGACTAGGAGAAAGCCCCACACCCTTACCTGTGGGCACCTGCCCCCCTCATCCCTCCCGCAGTGTTCCCCCACCCCACTCTTGCATTCTCACGATTCCCTGAACACTGTTCCTTCTGTAGGAACACCCTTCCATATTTGTCAATCTAACCACCTTTTTTCCTAATGTGAGTCATTTTTCTTCCTCACAGAAAATGTCTGAGTATAAGACAAGCAGAAAAAAAGACCTTAAATTGCCTCATAATCCCACCTCTGTTAGTTTTTGGGTGGTCAGATGTCCTTCCAGACATTTTTCTTTATATATTGATGGCCACAGAGGATCATCTACTTTTGCAAAATGGGCTCTCTCTTGCCCCCCAGACCAGGCAGTAAACTTTTCTTCCTGTATCTAAACACTTTTCCTTGTGACTAAACTTTGTGCTATCCCACTAATGTA